AAAAACTAATAAACACTTCTCCCAATCATTACTAATTGAATGTTTTTTAGATCATTTTTTAGATCATCGGATACTCCGTTCTCTCAAAAAGTCGATTTCTATTTTCTATACTCTTTGCTCCGTATCTCCGAAACGGCTGGACCTGCCTTTGCCAAAAACTAATCAGCTCTTCTCCCTATCAATAGGAATCGAATGTTTTTTGAATCATTCAAATTGGTTGATCCATGCGCCTGAAAACGTGACTGGAAATTTGTATCCATACATACACACACACACACACACATCCATTTTTTCTGAGGTATGCCAAAATGTTCAGAAACCTTCAAAACGTCGAGAAATGTAAAAATTTTAAATTTCGATTTTCGGCCCATTACAATAACTATATATCAATATTAATCCTTTCCACTCGAGAATACCGAAATTAATATGTATTTTGTCGCCGGAGGGGCGGCATTCGAGTGGAAAGGGTTAATAAATAATATCAAAAATATGTAAAAGTTAGGCACTGTCGTTGGTACGGAACATTTATGAATGAACATTTAGTCATAATACATTTATAAATTATAAAATATATGTATTACATTAAAATATATGTATACATATTCAATTACACACAAATACACACACACACACACATATATATATATATATATATATATATATTTATATATATTTATATTTATATATATTTATATTTATATATATTATATATATATTATATTATTATTATATATATATTATATTATTATATATATATATATATATATACGTTATAATAAAAATAAACACTTACGAATTATTATTTAATAAAAAATTATCCATGGTAAAATCCTGCACAATTTTTTAAAATCACTTGTATATATAATGTTAACCAGAATAATAATTTAACCTATGTCAACAATTAATTTAAAATCATCATTTGTCGCTATAATTATGTGTTCACTAAAAGTTCAATAATCAATCGAAAATGTCTGATTGGTTTCCAATAACAACATTCACTGGATCATACTTGCAACAGATTCTAGTTTTATTGAAAATACATCACGAACACAACTCGAATCGGCTCGTTCAGAGTTCAAATTATCATGTATACATGTAATATTTTAAATACTAAATAATTATTAAAGAACTTTGAACCGTGCGAATGCTTTGCCTTTGATAAACTTGTAGCGTTTCTTATTTTTTATGATTTAACTCCATATGAACCTTCAAATCTGACGTTTGCGTCACTCTCCTGTACGAAGACAAGCGATGCGGAATGGGGACACTCGGTTCGTTCCGTGAAATGAGCGCGCACTTCAGGGGAATTCAAACACGGCGCGAAATTCAAAAATTGAAATTGATTATTGTAACAGCAATTTTTCATAATAATTGCTATTGGGTATAGCAATTATGCAAATTATACTTGCAGAACTGATAAGAATACTCACATTTGAATATTTGAGTTATTTAGATATACTATTAACAATTATTATTTATTGCAATAATTGTTATTGCATATAAAATTATAAATTATACTTGCTACAAGTCATTTATTGCTTGAGTTATTTAGTTATCTTATTAACAATTATTACTTACTATAATAATTGTTATTGCATATAGAATTATAAATTATACTTGCAACATTGGCACATTGAGTAATTACTTTTTTTACTATCATATTTAGCAGTAAAAGTTTCAATAAGGTACAAAAATTATTTATTAATAGTAATTTTATTTTAAAATTGGTTGTGATAATCACCGTTTATATGAAGAGTCAGGTTATCATATTTAAATCATTATATACTATGAATGCTATAGCATTCACGTCCGCAGAATATTAAGTTTCAAATACAAAGGGATTATATGTATAAATGATAAAAAATAGTTTCGATTAAGTTTTTGTTTAATTATTTTGAATAGGTATAATATTTGTTATCGAAATTTTCGAAAACTAGATATTAAACAAAGAAAATTTAGGACAAAATTATTTAAATGCATCTGTCTGATATTGCTGTTTCAGATTTCATTTAGAATATTTATAAGAATTCGGAAAATTATTTAATAAACAAAATTATTATTAACCAAACCAATTGCAATGATTGGGGGTACAACTTTATTATATGATAAATTTATTTTAAAAAATCATATAAATTTGCCAAAAATATTGATATTTAAAAAAAAAATCATTTAAAAAATTAAATAAGAGTAAGTATTTAATACGAAATTATTTTATGCATGTTTTTGGTAGTGCTGTTTTATATCATCTTTAGATTATTTATATATAATATTTAATAAAATACATTATTATATTAGTTTGTAATAACTTGGAATACAATTTTATCACAATTAAAAAAAATATAGCTTTACTAAAATTATTGATAAATATTTAGTAAACTTTTGAAATACTTATTAATGTTCCATAATATTGTACATTAGTTTCAAAATTTTTCTTATTTCTTGTTGAACTTTTCTTCTAATTATATACTAATTTTACTTAAATTTCATTCATTTATATTTTTAGATTGAGAATACTAAAATTGTAGCATTCATCATCATAGTCTGTAATTTTTCAAAATGTATTACTACGAGGGGCAAGTAAAAAATAAGGTTCCCAACGCCGTACACTCGCCGCGCGAGCTAGGAGAAATCCTGCAAAACCGCTTTTAATGTTACCTTACTCCCTTACTCCATTCCAACTACCTGGAAGATCTCTGCGAACCTTAGTGCCAGTCTAACAGCCTTCCGTGATGGAGCCCGCAATCACCGTCACCGCCAGGTGTGAAATCCGTTCAATAATTCGATTTTTAAACGCGAAGAAGCTTGCACCTATTGAAATTCATAGACAGTTGGAAGAAGTTTATGGCAAAGCTTGCATCAGCGTCCAGCACGTCCGCAAATGGTGCAGGGAGTTCGCCACGACGAGCAAAGGAGCGGGAGGCCATCGGTGTCCGTCGAAGTCGTGGCCAAGATTGAGCGCATTCTCCTCGAGGATCAAAGAGTAACGCTTCGGGAGCTGGCTTTACAGGTTCCTGAGGTTTGTGAAAAAACCATCGACAACATTTTGACAGAAAAACTTGGTTATCACAAGGTGTGTGATCGATGGGTTAAATTGCCCCATACAGCCATGATCTTGCTCCCAGCGACTTCCACTTGTTCTCGAAATTGAAGCAACACTTGGGTGGACAACGCTTCAGTACAGTCTTTATTTCTTTAAGCACATTGGCGGCCTAGCTGCGGAGTTCTTCGAAGTGGGTTTTCAGAAGTTGATAACTTGTCAGAAAAAATGCATTGAAAGATCATACATATTTAAGTGTACATATTTATTGCAATAAAAAATACCTCAACCCTGAAAAAAATGTTCGAACCTTATTTTTTACTTGCCTCTCGTAGATTAATTATCGAATCTAATGCACGATAAATTGAAACGATAAAAATTGTAATATAAATGAGAATTCCAAAAATATAATATATGAAAACAAAATATGTTCTTGTATATACTTTTTATTATAACATGGTTTATATGTAATGTAATATTTTATATCATAAACAATCTTATGCAATATCGTTCATCGCATACTACATTATGATATAAACAATATAAATTCATATTATGTATATATGACAAATCTAAACTAAGAAATTCGTATCACAAAAGTAAATTCTCCTCTTATATAAAATGTAGGTACTAACACATCAATATATAAAATAGATCTAGCATGATTAATGATAAATTATATATACTATTTTAATTCATACACTCACAAACATACACATCCATTTGTTCAATTTTACATCAATTATAAAAAATATAAAATATTGGTGGTGTACATACTTATAGTCTAGTAATATATAATGCAGGAATAATATGTTATAACAATTTTTAATATATATTCATTTGACTAACATGATTTGATTGAATGAGTTAGTGATAATTTTCATTGTCAAAAGTAAAATTTGATTTTAAGACTTCAATAATCTTGGATCTAATTTAAAAAACATATCTGCGAAATCCATTTTTTCAGTAGAAAAAATATAATTTAAATATCGTAAAGTCGAGCCAAGCTTGAATGAAGCGGATTAATGTTTCCAATAAATGTATTTTTAAAGTATTAAGATAACATTATTATTATTACTATATAGATAAAAATAATTTGGTATGCAAAAGCGTTAATTGAAAGTTCATGTTCTGTGAATAAAATCATCAAACCATTTACTTACAACTTGTATGATCATGGTGAAAAATAATATAGCTTTTATAAAGTTTTATACAGGATTCTTCTTAGAAAATAAGATTTATTTATAAAAAAAATGTTCATTTTAATTTATTATTAAAATGGCATTTTCAATTACATATTAGTATTACGGATCAAAACATAAAACACATAAACGCTTTTAACTTATTCTTGTAATGTATAGTTTCAAGTTGTATTATATAATTCTAAATAATGGCTTTCAGTTACTTATATACTATGTCATAGGCAAGATGTTACTTCTTTATGTAAACAACATAAAATATCAAAATAATATTCTAATTTAAAACTAAAAAGTGTGATATGTAATGCGGTAATTAAATTCGATTTCAAGAAAAAATAGCATAGCAGAGTTGATATTACAACATACGATTCAGTCTCTAGTGTTTTGAAACACACAATGTTGCTAAATCCTCATTTCCTCATAAAATTTGAAAATAATGAAGCAGTACCAGATAAATACTAAAATTGCTAACAGAGATATTATTTGCTCTAAAATTAAAATACTGCACTTATCACAAGTAACCTAACTTAATATTAATGGTTCTCAGTTTCTATAAATTTATCTCTTCACAGGCTAAAAATTTACTCACAAATTAATAATATTCAGCATATCTAACTTCTATAAAAATCTCATAAACCATTTACATTTTCATAATATAGATATGGTAAATATAAGTACAATCTAGCACCACTTATTCCTAGTAATATATCCAAATATTTTTTACTTATGAGCGATAATAATATGTTTGAAATGTGGAAATAGCATTAGCGAATAGATCTTAACTTCAGCCTCAGTACTAAATAAGCTACCAACCTTAAAAATATGAATAGTCCGAATAAAGCAACGGCATCAACCCAAAACACTGCTTGGTCCATAGTCATTTCTTTAAGGAATTTCTTGGGACTTCTAAAGTGGCAATAAGGTTCAGAACACTTCAGTTTCTGTCTGTCGAATCCATATACAGAATACATGGCACCTTCAAATCCGTATCTAACATAACTTACATACGTCAGCCAGCTTAAATAGCCGGGTATGGCATTAAAATTGACGAAGAATCCTGAGAATAAAACAATTGGTATTGTAGTAATTGGCCCAAGATAAACGCCTGTCTCTATACTCATAGCTGCTCCAATTAGCAAACCCAAACTTTGGGCAACTAGAGCTGTCAGGATGCAAATGGAGACAAACATGAAGACTCTTTGTGGTTCTAGAGGCTGTGATGTCATGTAATAGACTACTAAGACATAACCGCTTGTGAACACAACCTTTAATGAGAAAAATTAATTAATAATGCTTATTAATAGCATATTAAAGCAAAATGCAAAAATTTTCATTATTTACAACCATGTATAGTATTTTCCAAAAACATATAAAGTACATGTTTTTACTATTTTAAAGAAAAATTACAAATATTTATGCAATGAGTCAATGTTGATCCATATGTAGAATTTGTATTTATGTGGTACCCCGACAGACTAGTTTAATTCGTTCCGTGCACATATAAGGGCAATGACTAACTATAAAATAATTCATTTGAGGGGGTATTCTACTGTAGAATTTTGAAAAAATCGAAACATTTTTTTTTATATTTTCAAAGTTTAGTTATTCAAAAATATGTCATTAAAAGTATTTTTCAAAATTACTATTATTTCTTGAGTTATAGCTGTTTTAGTAACGTGGCCTCGGCTCGGGTCCGACCGACTGCAAAACTTTGAACGCATTTTTCTCGGGACTACTTTTTTCGAGCTGGCGGTAAGGATATCTCGAGTTCTAATGAACCGATTTACTTCAAATTTGGAGAGGATCTTCTCTATACATCGCTTTATCGCGTGAACCTTGCTCAAAACTATAACTTTTCATTTAGTATTTTTAAAAAATTGCCGCCATTCAAACAAAAATTATTGTTATAACTTATCCAAGGGTCATACGATAGCGGCATCTATAATAATTAAGAATCCATCTACTTTTTATGTTTCACATCACCAGGAGGGTTGGAATCATGCACGCCAGGACACCCTATTTTTTTTGAGCCCCCACTTTGACTGCTTATAACTTTGTGAATTTTAATTCTTTTTTAATATTTTTTTTATGTAATAATAAAATATCAATAAACAAATGATAAAAAAATCGATAGCAAAAATATTATTTGTTTCCTTTATACAGCGCTTTAAAAACCGGGCGAAACTCATGCCTCTACAGTAGAATACCCCCTTAACAGCCAAAATATTTCTACGATAGGAAAATCATTGTTACAACTGATAAAATTTTTCATATTTCTATTTTCTATTAACATTAAAGCAAGTAATCGCTTTATTGACTCTTATGTCAGGTTACTCGTATGTCAGGGTATCACCATTTTAAGATAAATCGTAACGAACGTGAAAAAGTACTTACTTGGAATGGTAGATCTGCAATCGTTTTGGCCAAATAAAATGACTTTAAGGAGTACCAATAATTCAAATGTTCCCTTATAAATACCGCCATTTCTGTTGGAACTGAAAATATGAAAGATTTATTTTAAAAATATTTTTATAGTAAACTTCCAAATATCACTTCCATTGTATTTATATTATTCACATTTACTGGATGCATTGAATGTACGAGTAAGAATGTTCAAAGTAAAATTACATCAATTACACAATCACAGCAAAAATGTGAACCTCGACAAAATCCTCTCTGGAAAGGGTCTTTTTATACATACATATTCAAATAAAAAATAATACATATTATACTACAAATACTAGTATATTATATGACATGCAGCGTATTATACGAGTACATATATCATCTATTGTCCAGAAATGCAGCCATTACAAACGGATTCATAATTCATGAATGTAATTATAGTACAAATGACTTTAGGCGTATTATTAAATATTTTCATAAAATGATCTTAATCATTAGTTCATTATGCTTTCGACAAAAATAATAAAAAAAGTAATATAAATAATCAATAAAAAGTATAAGAAACTTACAAGTTAAAATTGTTGGCATCATAGCGGTGAACATGGTGAACATAGTTGTGAAAAATACACATCCAGCATTGCTCATCACTTTGGAAGCTTCGTCCCCGATGTCATAATAAATCAATCCTATTAGAATTCCAACTACTACATGCGATACCAGTCGCATTTGCGTCAAGGTTTGATCTCTAAATATCGTCAAGAATGTTCGTTTCAACAAAATCCAAAACTGCTGCCATCCAGATGTCGGAAATCCAGTTCTGGTTGGCATCGTCGTTACGCTTTCATTAGAATCTAATAATGAAGTAGTGCAGTTGGCAGCGTTCAGTTGTTTGGGATTTGTAGTATCGCCATTCATTGGTATATTTACAATAGTATTATCTTTGTTGGAGGTTTTTTCGTTGGATTTCGGGATTGGCGGTAATTCTTTCTTCATAATGTCGTTTGTTATTGGAGGCGGTCGCGCTGTTTCGCGGTTCCAAACATTACATTTGCCGTGGTTGACCGCCATCACGAGCTTGTGAACACATTCTCCATGCTCGCCACATGCAACTTCCATAACTAAATAATATAAAACAATATTAATATTTTATTCTAAATATCAAAAATAAATTTAACTTAAATGATTTAATCAAGATTCATGCGTACTCACCATAATCCGCTGGATTGTGATAACTCGGACATTCATATCCCAAAGAAGCCAAAAATGGAACCAAACCATTAACTCTGCCTTGGTATATACACTGCCCTTCCGCCAGCATATAGAGATGATCGAACATCTCAAAAAGTCTTGCAGAAGGCTGATGTATTGTACATACTATTGTTCTACCACCTCTTGCTAAAGACTTAAGCAAGCAGATTAATTGAAAACAAGTAGAAGAATCTAATCCTGATGTAGGTTCATCAAAAAACATAACAGGTGGATTATTAACTAATTCCAGAGCTATGGACAATCTTTTTCGTTGTCCGCCTGATAGATGTAATGTTTTAGTATTGCTACATTCTACTAAGCCCAATGTTTCAATAATTTCATCGACTACAATTCTTTTTGCATTGTGCGGTGTGTCTTTCCCTAATTTTAAATTGGCAGACACCATCATGGCTTCGCGCACTGTGATGTAGGGAAGAAGGCGATCATCTTGCATAATGTAACATGAGAGTTTTCGGAAACGGCGTAGATTACGTTCTTTGCCGTTAATTAGAACTGATCCACTAAGATGAGATGTTCTGAAAAATGAAAATAGTATGTAAGTACCAATGGATAATAATTAATAGTAAACCGAAATTATAACTTCAATAAGGAACTGCAATTCTGTTTTCTCAGTTCATAGATGCACATATGATTTAATAATTTCAGAATTATTTTCACCATAAAGCATTAAATGAAAAACATTTAAATCATTTATTATCCGGAAAATCATATAATTTACGATTATAAATGAAGTGCAGCAGAAAATCTGAAATTATGTAAGATGCATTTCTGAAATTTAATGACCATCACTGATTCTAAACAATAAAATATTTTCAAATTCCGCAATCATATATATGATAATAACAATGAAACGACATGCGCAGTACAAAGAAAAAAGAAACGCAATATGAAATATATTTTATCTAAAAAGTCAACATGATGAAAGATGGAAATTCATAATAGAAAATATCATTCCATCGAGTAATCCTTTGTTGTTTCATGTTATATGAGAATTAGATTTGTAAGTTTATCATAACATAAATTAAAATGCATCTGTTTCATGGAATTAAATGTTATAGTTCATGTAAAATATAAAACCACAAAATATATGTATATATACTATTACACTATATTATATAAATATAAAATTATATAAAATTATATAAAATGTATATATATATATATATATATATATATATATATATATGTAAAATACATATATGCAATATATATATATATATGTATATATATATATATATATATATTTTAAGAGAATAGAAATTCATTGTCAAATGTAAATTGTTGATATTCAACAAATATTCGCTAAATGTTAATTTACACCAAAACTTCAGGAAATGAATAAGGTGGTCTTGGAAGCATTTTTCCATACAATTTACAGTTTAGTTGTAGTTGTACACAGTTGTAGATTTAGTTGGAATGTATATATTAAAAGTAAATGAAATTATATTATAGATACATGAATAAGTCACCATAATAATATTCGGTTGGAGTTGTATCATCGCTGATAGTTTCGCATTTGAAATGGATATCAATAAGACTAGAAGATAGGTGTGAATAATATATGTATGTAAATCCAATAAAATATTTCCAAGAGGTTTTTCATAATATTCTACCTTTTCACTTCTATTATTTCAGTTTAAAGTAATACATTGTCAAAGGTTTTGTCAAAAATTTTGCTAATGTGAAGATATACGCTTGGCGGCTATAATGTATATATCTCTTTATGTACTTGTGATATCATGTGGATTTTTCCATCTACGATGCCAAAATGTTTCAAAAGCTTTAAAAATATGTTTTAACCCCGTTAAAACTGTGATAAAACTATAAAAGAGATGGTAAACAGCATATGCTACCGACTTATTAGAAAAAATATTTATTATATTTATACTCACTTATAACCAGCTAAAATATTCATAAGAGTACTCTTTCCCGCCCCTGATGGGCCCATAATAGCAGTCAATTCTCCCGACCGAAATTTTCCATTGATTCCTTTCAAGATCGTCTTGTATCCACGTTGTCTACCTTCAGATACTGAATAGGAAGTGTCTAAAAATTGGACATCAACCGGTGGCCTCCTGGGTAAATGGGATAATGTCACCATGGGTTTTCGACAACCGTTCGGACTAGTGTTATTTGGAATTTTCCGGACCAATTGATGGGCTGCGGCGATACTTCCATTGCAGAGATTGTTTTGTGATCCACTAGAACAAAAAATCAATATAAACATATGTTGTAGTAATAAAAAAATATTTATTGATTTGATTGATATGACAGGAAAAACAAGTTTGGTTTATTAATTATAATATTTGGTAAGTAAACAAAACTGCATTTGAAATTTTCAATTAACACGCAATTAAGAAATAACATAGAAAACTTTATTTAAAAATATTAAACTGTATTGGATCTAAAATTTCAATAAAGACAACTTGCCAGATATAACTGCTTAATACAAAACAATTCCATGATAAATTACCATATACAACAATATATTTTGAGAAAATGCTTTACAAATTGAAGTTCTCATTAGAATAATATGATATCTGCAAATTCATATGCTAAATATTATACAGTCTATTATTATGTCAGATATTACTATTTATATTATTATTACAAAATTGTCAACACAAATTTCTAATGTGGCCAAACACTAATATATTTCTAAATTAAGTTCAAGGTTTATGGCTCACTCAGTAACAGTAGAAAAGGTTGGTGTAATACGATTAGAAAATAGTTTGACAAGATTGACGCACACAGGCGTATATATATATATATATATATATATATATATATATATATATATATATATACGTATGTTCTCTGAATAAAAACATTTTCCTTCAATAAAACTGTTTTTAATTACTGGATTGACGCCCAAGAAACAATTTTATCATATATATATATATATATATATATATATATATATATATATATCTTATATATAAAATTCTTCTGTAACAATGTAAGTTTCATTAATCCTCCTAAACTATAATTCGGATTTTCATGAATGTTCCTGAAATTTGTTCGGGAAATTTTTTAGAATGTTTTGATTCATAGAAATATAGTTAGATTGTAGAAATAAATGAAAAAATTACAAAAAACCGCTTATCATTGTTTGCCCTTGAAAATATTTAAGGCATAGTTTGACATTAAAAACAAAAGACGACTGTCATTTGCCAAACATTTCCATTCACATATAGGCTAAGACAATATTAAAATATAATATATATATATGATTATGAATGAGAAAAATGTAACGACTACATTCTTATTGCCAAAAAGAAGCTGAGATGAGCCAAAAATTAAATTAATTTAAGATGCAAATAATATAACATGCATGTGACAAGTGATGCAGTCTGCGCATGCGTCTGACGCGCACGGCGAATCGTGTTCTCAACGTGCGCGTGGATTGCTTTTGCTTGCAATAATTTTGTTTGCGCACTTTGCGAACAGATTCGCCGTACGAATTCGTGCAAACAAGACGAGCCATAAGTGATTGCGCTCAAAAATATTCAATTTGCAGTCGTTTTGCCTTACTATACTAAGTCACAATACAAAAAAAATTATTTAGAAGTTTCATGGGTCAAAAATTCATATGTTGTCATTGGTACGGAATATTTACTCAATGGAGCGCTTTCGGTCTGAACTTTTTCTACTGTTTTCCATTTCGTTTGGAATTTTGGAACTAGGTTCATCTTACTCTTCAGAAGTGAAAACAATTTAAACTCCTTTACCACTTCTCGGGTGGATGACATTTCTTTTCAGAGGTGTAACTTTACTTTTTCAAAATAACGTTGGGTATCGATAAAAGAACTAATTATAAGAGAAAAATGTTTAATAATGTTTTTCAAAAAAGCAAATACTTTTCAAGTTACTGGCTACTGAAAATTTGTTTCTTTTTTGCGTTTTTATCATTTTTTGCTAATATCTTCAAAAATATACATTTTAACGAAAATCATATAATGAACAAAATTATATCAATTAAAATCTCAATAAATCGCTATTTTATAGTGTTTTTGGAACATTATTAGGCTAGATATGAAAATGGGTTTTTATAGTGCTCAAAATAAGCTTTAAAATGAGTACTTCTGCGTGTAAAATGAGTAAACTATCATGCAAATAAATGACGCATATAATGTTTTTTCATTTAAATCAAATAGTTTTTCAGTGCCATTACCACCAAATTTAAAAATAATCGTATTCCATCTAGAAAAAACTTGGTTTAAGAGATCTTGATGGATTCTAGAAAATACCACAACTTTAGTACAAACGATTTTTAAAAAAAATATTTAAAAAAAATCCAATTTCTTATTATAATATCTCTGAAAGAATACGTATAAAAGTATATATATATATATGAAAATTCGAGGTATTTTTATTACTAATTATTGTTGTTTAGTATTTTTCGATTACACAAATATTGATAGAGGTATTAATTACGAAGTGCGCGGCTGTCCAACCAGAGGTCTTTCGAGCCCTTTAACCCTTCGCCGTTTCACTCATTGTGCCGTAGCTCATTTAATCACCTTTGAAGTTATGATAAAATCAGAATTAAAAGAGTAATAATCCAATTAATGCGATGGATGGTGACGGAGTGCAATTGTTTTCACTTCTGAACTTAAGATAAAGATTAGCCTATTTCCAAAATATCAAGTAAATTGGAGCACAGTAAAAAAATTCACAGAGCAATAATTTTGTTGATCGTAAGTTGAATAGAGCACATGTGAACAGGATTTGACAAATTAATTCACTTCAAATATAAACTTAAGCAATAATGTATATTGGTTTATTTGAGAAAAAAATGTAATTTAGATATTAAAATTACTAAAAGCCAGTTAAAATATAGTACGAAATTATAAAAATTATAGGCAACATTATTGAAGCAATTATATTGGGTAGAAAAATAAAAGGTATTATTGCACCTTTGTCGCGAATGCTTTATATTAATTCTTTCTGAATTTGTTGTACTTTTTAAAAGATTTCAATTTTCAACACGTGTATCTTATGCTATGACCATTAATCACAAAGGCAGACGATCGTTTTTAGTGTGATAAATTTCGAAAATCAATGTTTTAGTCGTGAATAAACAAAAATTCATTCATTTATACATCCACATCTACAGGTATGACTAAAAATACTATATAACCCTTAAATGCAATGAAATAAATTGAGCTATTGGAAATAAATTTGTTCTATAAATCGTAGTGTATATTTTTTAATATACAATTTTATTGAAATTTTTTTAATATTTGTTAAATGAATAATTAAAGTGTTAACTGTGGGAATTGAGATCAATCATTTATTTGAAGCAGTTCTACATTCAACATGACTCATATATTGGTGTAGATAGTAATTCAAAAAACAGTAATTATTATTTTTAACTAAGCAGTAAATATTAGTATAAAATATTGAAAAATTGTAGACGTGGGTACAGAACAACGTCTGTCGGGTCAGCTAGTCTTATATATAAAATTCTTCTGTAACAATGTAAGTTTCATTAATCCTCCTAAACTATAATTCGGATTTTCATAAATCTTCCTGAAGTTTGTTCGGGAAATTTTCTAAAATGTTTTGATTCATAGAAATATAGTTAGATTGTAGAAATAAATGGAAAAAATTACAAAAAACCGCTTATCATTGTTTGACCTTTAAAATATTTAAGGCATGGTTTGACATTAAAAACAAATGACAACTGTCATTTGCCAAACATTTCTATTCCTAAGGCAATATTAAAATATAATAAATTAATCATTAAAAATAAAGAAAATGTAATGTCTACCTTATTATTGCCAAAAAGAAGCTGAGATGTGATAAAAATTAAAATAATATAAGATTTAGTATAAGATACAGTCAACATCTGACAGATGATGCAGTCTGCGCATGCGTCTCGCGCATAAAACTTAGCCGACAATTCCCTTTGACTGATTATTATTTTTTAACTTTTAAATGCAGTCGTGTTTTGTCTTAATTTACTAAATCAAGATACAAAAATAATTTATTTATTCAAACAATTATTCAGAAGTTTCATTGTGTCTAAAATTCATATGTTTGGCATTGGATACGAAATATTTACTCAAGACAATGGAGCATTTTGGGTCTGAATATTTTTAATGTGCTTCAATTTGCAAGAAATTTTGGAATTAGGAGCATCTTACTCTCAAGTTTAAAAATAAAAATAATTTAGAATCATTTGCCACTTCTCGGGGGGATGACATCTCTTTTCAGTGGTTCAATTGTATCTCTTTCAAACTAACGTCGGATATCGATAAAAGAACTAATTAGAATAGAAAAATGTTGAATAATGTTTTTCAAAAAAGAAATTACTTTTCAAGTTACAGGCTACTGAAAATTTGTTGTTTTTTGCGTTTTTCGTCGTTTTTTGCAAGTATTTCTAAAAATATACATTTAAACGAAAATCATGTAATGAACAAAATTATATCAATCAAAATCATAATAAATTGATGTTCTATAAATTGTTCTAGGAACAATATTAGGCTAGATATGAAAATGGGGTTTTATAGCACTCAAAATAAGTTTTAAAATTAGTACTTCTGCATGTAAGATGAGTGAGCTATCATGCAGATAAAAGACGCATACAATATTTTTTTCGTTTAAAGCAAATAGTTTTTGAGTGTCATTTCCACCAAAATTAAAAATAATCGTATTCCCTCTGGAATCAACTTGGTTTAAGAGATTTTGACGGGTTCTAGAAAATACCATAACTTTAGTGCAAAGGATTTCCAAAAAGCTCATGATTTCATGAAAAAAAATCTATTTAAAAAAATAAAAGATACGTATAAAGGTATATAAATGAAAATTCAAGGTTTTTTACTGACTAATTATTGCTTTTTATTATTTTTCTGTTACACAAATATTGATAGTGTACAACCAGAGTGTCTTTCGAGTCCTTCAATCCTTTGCCATTTCAAAATAAGAGAAGTTAAAATTTATGATAGAGAAAGTTGTAGCTCATTTAATTACCTTTAAAATAGTGTATTGCAAGTATTGATAAAATCAGAATTAAAAGAGTTATAATTCAATTAATCCGGTAGGTGGTGACGGAGTGCAAATTGTTTTTACTTCTGAATTTAAGATTAAGATTAGCCTATTTCCGACACACGGTTTTTTCCTCTCCATTTACTGCAATTTTGTTGATCGTAGGTTGAAAGAGCACATGTGAACAGGATTTGACAAATTAATTCAC